CCCCATCTAGTTATCTCACCAGAACTGAACTGCAAATATTTTAAGTTTCTTCTTAGACGAAAATCCAGCTCACTAGTAGCCTACTCTGCAGATGAAGGACATTACCATGATTTAGAAAACAAGTAGACTGGCTCTTGTTAAGGAAACTGAACACGGTGAAGTTTAGAGGCATTCCCAATGTCTCCAGGCTGGTGAATGATTAAGGTCTAGATATTCTGACTCCCTGAGATTTTCTGCACAATTAAACTTAAAATTGTGTCACCCAAAAAGGGACAATGACAACTATTGCAGTGGAAGGAAAAGGTAGAGAAACTGCTTCAATTCAGATCCAGACAGCCTGAAGTGGAAGAACGAACAGGGGATCTAAAACCAGACTATGCGGCTTTTGCCCTCACTGTCCATGGAACCCTGAACAAGATATTTAGTCTTTCTGAGTGTTGGTTTTAGAGTAAAAAGTGAGTAATTACAGAACCTATCTCAGAGTCATTGTGAGGAATAAGTGAAAAGTGTTTGGAACAATACACAATACATACTACAATACATACTGTAAACAGTCAACATATGAAGATGTTTTTCTATGATGAGATGATGGCCAACGTATATAAAGTATAAGAAGTAGAAAATTGTGTATAGGAAATACTCTTCCTGTGGATCAGGTACAGTTCTAAGTACAGTGTACACATTAATCAATATGGCAAAACCCAAGGCCAGTATTCTTAAACATCGGATTATATTTTCTTCTCAGGTTAAAGAGAGAAGATAGAGGAGAAGACAGTCTTCTTAGATACAGAATCTTTTTTAAATGGGTCTTAACTACATATAAGAGAGGTATTCTCCAACCTCCAAAAAGTAAACACTACTTCTGAGTGTGGTGCAAATAAAGAAGCAGCACTCGTGTCACAGAGTAACTTTTTCATTTGTAGACCAAAAGCTGGACTTGAACTGTATAAACTGGATAAACTATGATGCAGTTTCTTTTTTCTATATTCTATGTATGACAATCATTGTTCCTTAGAGCGGTTTTTTTGCCTTTTGCCTTTGTATTATTTAATAAATAAGCACATGAAATGAACCATTCCTCAAAAATCTTTAGGGATTTTATCAGTGGCCAGGAATAAGCAGCTAATGAGCATGCTCTAATCATAGTCATAGGTGACATTTATATATCTATCTATACCTTTATCTGAGCTATGTGCTAAAAACTTTATATTAGTTATCTCTTTACATTCTCAACCAGTGAATGAAGGAAATGCTATTATTCCTCCACTTGACAAATAAGAAAGCTAAGCTTAAAGAATTTAAGTCACTTGACCAGGATTTTATATCAAGTCAATCACAAGTTAGAATTCTAATCTCACTACTGATTTTTGACTCAGAAAATGCCTTATCCTGATGTCTTATGCAACTTGGGGGTGGGGAGGGGGCACCCAAGTTGGGACTTTGCATGAAGAGTCTCCTCAGAAAATGCTTGTAAAATAAAACTTTATTAATTATTTAATCTGTGAGAGGTTAAACCACAACTGTTCTTCTCTTACAAGAGAAGTGATTCTTTCTTTTTGGCTCTAAGAATCTGCTAGATGCATGGCTTCAGAGAAAAATCAAGGTTGCAGGTGCTTTGATGCTAACTGTCCACCAATAATGGATTCCTAAAACACAGCTTTATCTCAACTGTTTCATTCTGTAATTCTGCAGCTTGGAGAGTCTACTAAAATTAACTTACAGATCTTCAGCTCAACAGCTGTGTTTTGAATTGTGTCTGTTTGCTCTCAGAAATATGACTAGCCTTATTTCTCTTAAATCCTTAGTAAACTATAGCACTGTGGAACCAATTGCTTCATGTATTGATCAGTAGTCACTGATCATCATTCTGATGCCAAGATCTTTACATACGTTAATTAATTCACTTCTTAGGAGAAACTTATTACCCCCATTTTTCCAAATGAAAATTGAAGAGTTGGATGATTTGTGGAAGGTTTGAGTTTCAGATTTGGCAACTTCAAAGTTTAACTTCTTTCTACCATATCTGGAATAAGATATAAAAAAAACTTTTCTACTCTCAGCAACTTAAAATTCTGGCACTGAGAATATCTTAATAATTTGAGGCAAGGAATAGTAGAGGGTTATAGACCTTAGGAGGATATGGATTTTCATGTATGGGAGAGAAAAGTTCATTTACAACAAACACCCAAAACAAACTAGTTCTTGTATACCACTTCATGGGTTTACAGATCCCAGTTCAGAAGTTTTCTTTTATGGACTAGAAAGGGAACATAGCGAAATACAAAGAGGTACACTTTTGGAGGAAAAAAAGTAAACCATAACCACATTCACAAGCAGTTGTGTTTGGAAAGAAAAAGAATTTACAAAACAGTAAAGACAATTGGAGTGAATAAGAACATGTCACGTGGACTGTCTTGAAAATATTCTAACTAAATAATATTTAGTTAGTTTTATGGGGAAAAGAAGACTATTATTCTCTCAACAATCCATCACTACCAAGTGCTCACATATTCAACCCAGTGGCTGCATTTTAAAAACATGAATTATTTCATGACCACTAACCACCCTTGTGGCAGAGGGAACAAGGATAGAGAAAGACCAGAAGTGAGGTTTCGTGCCCATTTCCAATAACATATATGACTGACATCACAATCAAAACTGACCTCCTGTACAGTCACAGGAGGCCATAAGCAGAGACTAGGGTCACCCAGCCTCACAGTGCCCCTCCTACCTGCATAGAAACACATCTGTGGGTATCCTACCACTTACAAAACCATTTTAACATACAAAGACACAGACAATAGTATAATTACTATTAGGTTTATACAAAATTAAACTAAGCTTAGAGCAAATAGAAATAACTTGTATATCCCAGATATATAGAGGCTGAAAAGCTACTATTTAAAATCAAATATTCTAGGTCAGCTTTATTCTTTGTGTTACTAAGCTCAGACAGAAAGGGGGCTGAGCTCTGAGAAAAGCAGTGTTTCTTAGTCTAAAGAAAGGACATGCACTTTTCATGGTTTGGAAGAACAATGCCATGAGCATCACTGGATAAACTCGTGCTGGTCATGACAAGTAGGAGCCAGTTTTTGGCATCAAATTCAATCATTCTTAACATTTAAAAGTACACATTAAAATAAGCAAACATCAGCCATAAGAGAACAGAAGGACCCAAGTTCAGCAAAGATAACAAAGCTCACTGTTGGCACTGAAAATTGTAATTACTCTACTTATTCAGAAATGAAATATTATGGAAAGTCAGGTCAGTGTTGAAAACATTCATAGTATATCCCTTCAGTGAATTTCTCAACTCATATTTTCATAAGGTTGTATTATCATGACTAGTCAAAAGTTCATTTGTTATTTTGACAAACTCTTCTACAACTCTGGATCTCTGGGGACTAAATAACGATATGACTTTAAAAAAAAAAAAACAGAATGAAGTAAGTTAGAAGAAGAAAGCCAACTACTAGATGATTTCACTCTTAGGTGGAGTATTAAAGAAAAGTAAAGGAACAGACAGAATCATAACAAAACTGACCCTTGAAATCTGACTGCAGAACTAGGGCTGCTAGAAGAAGAGGGGAAAGTCGAGGGAGGAAAGGGGGGTGGGGGCCCACTGACTTTAGTGAAGGATTATTAGGGCTTATGTGGTGGGCATGGCACCATGTGATAATCTACACACATGGTGGCGTGAAACTGTACCCTAAAACATATAGTGTAACAACCCAAATTTATATCTATAAATATAATTTTTTAAAGAGCTTTATATCCTGGTAGCTATATATATTACAAGCCAAATCAAATCACTGAGTTGCCTATGGATATAACATTCTAGTTAAATTTAATTATATATTAAATATGTATTAATTAAATGCATATGTTCTGGCCTGCCTCTTGATGATGGTCAATGATTTATAACAATAGCATACTACTACTCACCTATGTTCCCTAAACATCTTTGCATAAACAAAGTTTCCATACTTGAAAATCCCCAAATTCATGAGGGAAAGCGTCTTCCAAATCTTACTGCTGTAAGCTCGTTTTCCTGGACTGTTATTATACATAATAAGAGTCTTGCTTTGACAGCTCCTATAATAACACATTTTAAATTTTATATTGGATGTTAGGGGTTTTTTTGCCTCAAATTCTTGTGATGGCAAAATCATTTTTCTCAAAGCTGATTGGTTGTGGAAATCTTCAACAGTGCTTAAATGTGACCTTGCTAACCTGATTTTTCTGGCAAGGAGGAATCTTTTTATTTTAAGCCTTTTGGTACAGAAAATGACATCTTTGTGAAGAATTTTTTTATTATTAAGAAATAAATGTGTCTTACTCTTTGAGATCTCCCTGGCATCAGAAATTTGCAGTCATTGCCACTGTAGAACATTAAAAATATATTTCAAAGACAGGCTAGCGAAGTTCAAGTAAAAGTTATTTTTTTATATATTGGAGCTGCTAGCTGGCATTGGGTGAGTATTAGAGATAATTAACATAAGTAATGTAGAATCAAATAATAAACTGAATTCATATGTTGACTGATATCCTTACTGTATGTTTTGATGTTGATTGTATAAGTCATTGCAAAGATTCATCCTCTGATAAAATTTTAAACTCCTTGGTTTATTTGGGGTATTTGTTTTTCTTATAAATTTTCTTCTAACCTACTTAGGTTTCATTTAATACTCTGCTTTTGTACATTTCTCCACTGAGCAGTCAAGTTTTGTCAGCACAGCATTAGAAGTATTCACAATCCCTGATCATTTTCTTCCTGATATACCTTTCCTTTTACTCCTAAAACCACAGATTATGCTTGATTTTGAAGACATTCTAAAAAGGCTATAACTGGATAAAATCATTAATGTGACATGTGCTTCCTTAGACTTGAAGCTTTGCTATTAGCTTATTCATTTACTTGTTTTATTGCTATTTTTTGAGTTTTTCTTCATGCCAAATCTGTACTTTTCTTTAAGGCTTATGAAAATTTTGGCCAAAAAATGTTGCTGCTTCTGTGCAGGCATGGAACCTCTTTGCCTAAGCTAGATAACCTGGTGAGTAATTTTATTTATTTTTCCTGATGCATACAGGTCACATAACCTAAATGCTGAAAAAAAAAAAAACCACTTAAGGTGACAAAACATGTCAAAAGAAACAAACAGCATCTTTGTTCCCAGATGGGAGAAAAGAAGTAAGAACTTTCACAGTCATTGTATTCATTCCACTGCAATCAGTGTCATTTTCAAGTCACAAAAATAACTAATCACTAACTTCTATATGATCATAAAATTCTAGACACTGATGGAATCTTAAAAGTCAGCTCATTTTATTTTTGCAAAACAAAAAAACCACAACTTACATGAGTGTGTGACATTATCATGAAACTTAGTGACAGATAAAGATAAAATGAATGATTACAAATAGATAAATTAAACTTCCTTTAAAATCTAGGGCTATAATCTTAGAAAGCAGATTTATAAAAGAGAGCATTTTAGTGAAATAAGCTAGAAAGGAAAGGATATTACAGGTGATTTTATTCATTTTGTAGAATATAGGTAATAAAAGAAACAACTGACATAACACAGCAAATATAAACCTTAGAAGGTAAAAATACACTAGCATTTACCAGTGTATTACCAGAGGGCTTAGGGGGAGGAGAGGGGAGTAAGGAAGAGAAGGTGATAGGGTGTCGGCGCTGGAGCTCAGTAGAAGGGTGAGTGAAGTACATGACCATATGGAGGTGCAAAGTAGCACTCCAAAATTATATAGTGATGTAAACAATTGGAAAATATATAACATTTTTAAGTGTATTTTATTTCATTTTTTGACACTTATTTATATATGCATACAGAACTGGGATACAGGCCAGTGGTGTGGGGGCGGTGAGAGGATTCACCAGAGACAGAATGAGGAGTAGAACAGGCAGATGTGGGAAGTATACTGCTGAGGGGAGAAGCGGGCATTCAGGAGAGGTCTGCTGTGCCATGTGGGCAGCTCCTGGGCTGGGGATGGAACTCACACCGAAGCTTCAGTGGCTAGCTTGCAGTGCTGTGTCCTAACTCTTTGTGCCACCAGGGAGGGCCCAAGAGAAATCAATAACGTTTAAGGACAAAAAGGAAAGCATCCACCAGTGTTCTCTTTATTAGCTTCCTTGTATTGCTGTAACCTAAACAATTAGTTTTGGGGGACCTCCTTGGTGGCTCAGCAGGTTAAACCACAGCACTAAGAAGCTAAAGCCTCTTCAGCACGAGTTTGATCACTGCCCGCCCCAAAGGTGACCCATATGGCTTGGCAGACCTCTCCTGACCCACCTGCTGCTCCCCTCAACAGTATACTTCGTCAGTCGGCCTGTTCTGCTCCCTGCTCTGTCTCTGGTGAATCCCCTCACCAACCCTGCACCTCTGGCCTGTACACCAGTTTCTGTATGCATAAATAAATATATCTTTAAATATATGTATATATATAACTAATTGTTTTTTTTATTTTTAATTCTCTACAAGTTGATGATTCTGAGAATTATGAATTAGCAGCAAAGCATCAACACATTACTGCTTCCTGTGTTTAATTGCACTTTCCTAATTTCGCAGATTTTAAAAAGGTAATTAATGACACAATAGTGTCAGAAATTGCTGAAGTTAATTACATTGTCCTTTTGGGACGCTCAGCAGCGTGAGCTCTGGCTTAGCTCACTACTCAAAGCAGTTAGTACCCACAAAAGGGGAGAATGAACAAAAGGAATGAGCTAGCAATCTGTGCTACATTCATCTATATGTGCTAATATGTTGGTATGCTAGGAGTTGTATTGTGTCTACAGTCTGTGAAAACGAATGAATGCCAGAACAATTATTCTTAGAAAATTCTTTATTTCCTCTATTATATATGGAAAAACAACAGATTTTTCTTATGGAATTTGCCAAGTGAATGCTTCAAAACAAACCTGTGGAAGGTATAAATACAATTCAAAATTTATATAAGACTTGAGTAATTAAAGTGAGGTTATTGAAATAAATGAAAACAATCTATCTCCAACTTCATCAGTTTCAATCTTGTTACCTATTGAGTCAGAGTATCTAACAAAGATAAATTTAGAGTGTTGCCTATTTTGACCTTTTTCGCTTACTAGTTCTTTTGGAGTAGTGATTTTTTTTTAAGGATAAAGTAATAAGAATAGTTATCAAAACAACAATAGAGGATAAAAGAAAAGGATAGAATTGAGAATGCTTCTAGATTATTTAATTAGTATGCATATAGTGGGGTGCATTAATTTCAGAGTGTTATCTCAACAAAGTTGAGATTATCCTGAAATATTCTGAATTATTCTGAGGAAATGTAGTCAGACATGACTATGCTGGTTAGTTCTCAAACTAATCAAGCAACTAGAAGCTCAAAATCATCAAAATTTGGTTGTGAAACAGAGTAGGAAAAGGGAAGATTCTAGGTACCCTGCCCCACCCAAAGAAGGGTGGAACTAAGCAGGGAGAAAAAGAAGCTGGAGAAGAAACTAAAGAAGGAAGGAAACAGGGCCTCCCTGGTGGTGCAAGGGGTTAAAGCACAGTACTATGAAGCTAACGCTTGCTGGCCAAGGGGGTGGCTCACATGGGGCAGCAGACCTCTCCTGCCTCACCCTCTGCTCCCCTCCGCAGTGTATTTCAGTGGATCTGCTTATTCTGTTCCCGACTCTTTGTCTCTGGTGAATCCTCTCACCTCCCCCACTCCCACACCTCTGACCTGTACCCCAGTTTTTGTATGCATAAATAATAAATCTTTAAAAAAAAAAAAAAGTCCCTCCCTGATGGTGCAGCAGGTTAAAGCACAGCACTAGAAGAGATAAGGAGACACATGAAGCAGAGAAATGGAAAGAAACTGAGCTTGGGCCTTAGTCCTGGACTGGTTAGAACAAATGTAGATGAGAAACCCGTGAGAAGGTTTCTCCATAGCAGTTCTTATCTTAATTTTGATTTTGTCCTTTTCTTCCCAGACTTGTCTGTTTCTGACCCTTTTCTATGGGTCCCCTATTAAAAAGTGTTTTAAACTTGTGGCAGGCTTTCAGGCCTTGCTTTGGGCCAATCCTCCTTGCCTGAACTTTTACCCACGAGGGGATGGGTAACTCTAGGTGCCTAATTTGTAAACTATATTCTTTATCTTTTCTATATGGCACATTAATTATATTAAAGTGCCTTTCCAGTCAACGTCTTAAGTGTTTTTGTCTTAATCCAGCATATGGCAGAACCTACTTAAAGCAGTCAGGTTTAAGGACTCTGGGGTGCTCTTCTCCCTGTCTTGTAACAGTTGTTTTTCTTTTCATTCCAGTGTTTTGAGACATCCTCTCAAATGCCCATATTCTCACTTCTCTCCGCCCCTACCCTCCACCCTTTCTACTTCCCTCTCTCTCTTTTATCTTTCCTTTTTCAGCTAACCCTTTTGGCAGTTTACAAAATTATTCCAAGTAATAACTATCTAACAACTCTTAATGTAATACAAAAATGGCAAAAGTCATTTTTTTCCCTTACTTTCCTTATCAGACAGGGGGACCTAGCTAACCTAGGTTAGCTCAGAATGGTAAGCATGATTATTTCACAGTCCAAAATTAAATCCAGTTTTGTATTCCAGGTACTGAGTGGAAAAATGAAGATTCTCCTGTTCTTTCTAGGTCTGCTTGGTAATTCCACTGCTATGCCAGTGAGTATTTTTCCTTAAATAGGACTTTTCTTTGTAACCAATTTCTGCATAACTTTGGGACAATTATCGGCCTTATTTCAATTGATGTTCTGAATTTGTTACCAATATTCTTTCACTACCAGATGCAAATGCCCAGAATGCCTGGATTTAGCAGTAAAAGTGAGGAGGTATGTATGTATAATCTCTGAGAAGGTTTCTGGAACCCTGTCCTGAGAGTTACCAAAAATACTGGAGAATTCTATTATGATATACAAAATTTCTGGAAGACTTTCTGATATACAAAATTTCTTATGAACGCTGTAGAGGAAGATTTGAAAGAACTCTCAGATCAAAGCAAAGTAGTAATTTCCCCAGCCTCATCCTCCTTATTTACCTCAATATTCCTTTTCAAGTTAAATATAAATTTGTATTAAACTATAGTGTCAGATACTTTGCCACAACTTTAAGCTGATAAACATAACCATTTGTACCAAGGGTGGTTAGAGACAGACACTTATGCATATAATTTACCTTTCACACTACTCATAAGTAGCATCGCTAGCCAAATTCAATACACATCAGAGAGGACATTCAGCTTTCCAGAATTATTGCATTGTGAAATCCTGAACTCTGAAAGTAGAGTAGAACATTCAAAAACTTCAAAATAGAGTAACAGTTTTATTCTCTATTATTCTGTCTTCATTCTCTTCAAATTAAAACTTTCTCCTTTTTCCCAAATTATGTTTACTGTGGTAAGTAGGTTTACATCTTTGTGTCTGATTATGGGTTCAAATCTCTACAAATGTGTACCTCCACACCCAGCCCACCCCCCCCAAGTCCTCCAGCATGTTCTACTAAGTTCCCTCTCTCCCCCACTTTCACACCACTACTCCCCCTCCAGTTGCCTCAGTTTTATAGTTAGCTGTCAAAGAGCTTATTATTGGTTTGGTTTTGCCTGAGTCTTCATAATGTTCCTCCATATTCCACATAAAAAGACCATCCTGTGTTTGCTTTCTCCTTTTGATATTTCATCAAAGAAGTTTTTTTTAATTGCATACTTTAAATGTATATATAACTAGTAAAAGAGACTATGACTTGTAACTGAGGATTACAAATTCAACTTATTTCTTACGATTTGTGGGTTGATTAAGTGAAAATTTTTCACTGTGTCACATTAATGGATTCTTTTGGTCACAGATGATGCGGTATAATCAATTCAACTTTATGAACTCCCCACATGTAAGTCCCACTTTATATTATTTCTAATGATTTTGTATTTATATGTAGGTAATTACATGACAAGATTTGTTTTTGCTAATAAAGACATCACTGGTATCTACATGTTTTAATACATACAATGTAATCATTATAAAGGCTTCAAAGGAGAAAAAATGATTTTATTTGACCCCTGTTTATTCATTACTACTACTCTTTATGCAAATTTAAATCATTTATTAATTGCAAGGGCTCTTTACATCCAAGAGAAATTGATTTTGGAAAAAGATCACCGAAAATATGTTCAAAAATAATTAGAGCATATCTAATTACCATAGTAATTAGTGGAAATGATAATTTTTATTTGTATTATTTTGAGAGAAAATTATGAAATATTTTTATTTAAGTAAATTTTAGACTTTATTCACCACTATGTACTAATTCTTAGAACTAATTTATAATGAATCAAATATTGTATCTTTTGGCATATTTCCTTGATAAAATTATATGATAGCACACAATAGTGTCTGTGTGTACATATATACATGGTATGTGTGTGTGTGTATATATATATATATATATATATATATATAATTGTGTGTGTGTGTATCACTGACTTTTATGACAATCATCAGAACAGTTTTGGGGATGGGGACCTCAAGGACTTAATCAATTTTCTCTTAATTCTTCTCATTTAAGTCATTCTCTTTTAAAACCTCACCTAAAATTATCATTATTGTTAATTTTCTATACTTCAACTATAGACCCTTTTCTTTCAAACATTTGTTCTCAATTTTTTGCCTGTGATTTGACATTTTTAGCTTAACTTAATTGTCATGAACTCTTGTATCATCATGTGAGATTTACAACTTCACCTTCCATTAGTCCACACTGGTTCTGCATAGTGTCCATCATCCAGTAAACAGAGAGAGACTGATTGAGTCAGTGGTGATAGAGACAGTGTTAAACCAGGGAGGGAATATGTGAATGAAAACGGATGTTGTAAGAGTTCAATTTACAAACTAGCATTTCAGATTGTAACAACTTCTGCTTCCCTACCAAACTAGTAATTTTGAACATTCTGATAATTAAAAGCTAAGTAATGAAATTCACTTTCAATCAAGTAACAAGGTGCCATATAAGAGCATTTACACACCAAAATGTTGTTTTCTTTCTCTTTTTTAACACTCACTTCTTAATCTTCTTTTTGCTTCCTGTCCAACCCCCACCCTGTTTCTAACCTACAATAAGCCACAAGGATTTTGATATCAGTTCCTCTGTCACCTGACTTGAATACTTCTCTCATAAATGAGGCTTCGGAATTAGAAAATCATCAGCCAGATTCTTAACCTGAACTGTCACAAATTTTTAAGCTGAAACCTAGTTCTTGCTTCTGGTTTGCTTCAGTCCAGGAGACTGAAATTTATTTCTGTAAGACACCGTTTAAAGAAATGTTAGCTAGAGATAATAAAGATCCCATTGCTGAGTCAAGTTCCATAGGATTTTCAAGCTCCTCTGAGTTTTAGAGACAGACACTAAAGAGTGGCAAGAGCCTGAACCTCAGCCCTGTGTGATGTGACTGTCATTTGCTGCTCTTTCAGATGGCACATCTGGGCCCCATGTATGGAAATGGTATGCAAATGCCTCAGCACTTCCCTCAGTACCAGATGCCCATGTGGCCTCAGCCACCACCCAAGCTGGGACGCCCACAGAAACCTTCATCTCCTCCATCATCCAAACGCCAAAGCAAGACTGATCAAAACCCAGAGACCCCGAAACCCAACCAGCCTCAGCCAAAAAAGCCACCACCAAAACGGCCTCTAAAGCAGCCATCACCTGCCCCAACTCAACCCCAAGAGGAAGTTCGGCCACCTCAGGTGAGGCTTCCCCAGCAAAATTTCAAATCAGGGTCCCAAATAGCTTCAGTGGGATATCCCACCTTGCAAACATACTTCTCCAGCATGCCTTACTATAGGTACTACTGGCTATAAAGCAATGTTTAGTTTGATACTTTCTTCCAAGGAGATGCTCCTGTCACCATAGACCCTAAATTTCCTGGCAAGTCAATTTCATCTTCGGTTACCCAAATGCTGTTGCCTTTTAAAATTGAGATAACAGGCCCTCCTTGGTGGTACAATAGGTTAAAGCACAACACGATGAAGTTATCTGCAGCTACTGAGCGGGAGTTCAATCCCAGGCCAGGGAGGTGACCCATATGGTGTGACAGACCTCTCCTGACCCGCCCACTGCTCCCCTCAGCAATGTATTTCAGTAGATCTGCCTGTTCTGCTTCCCACTCTGTCTCTGGTGAATTCCCCCACACCTCTGGCCTGTACCCCAGTTCTGTATACAAAAATAAATAAATATTTAAAAAATAAATAAAATAAAATAAAATTGAGATAGCATGGTGTGATAACAAGAGCATCAACAGAAGAGTTGGGGAACAGAGATTTGAGTTCTGTTCCAGCCCTTAATAGTTGAGTGATTGAAAGCAGGTCAACTTCACCCTTCTAAACTCCAGTTCCCTGAGCAAACAAAATGATCTCTAAGTCCTTTCCATATCTATGCCATGATGGTCTAAAGTATTTCCCTGAAGGATAACAACGCTGCTTCCAATACTTCGGAGTGGTGTAAGTTAAAATCCTGGCTTAAAGGAAGAAGATGTGCAATTGTTTTCTCAAAATCTCATTCTAAGTCTTTTAATGAATTAACAGTTATTATTAGACATTACTATAGAGAAAACAAAACTGGATGGAAAGGTGTTCATGAATTTGAAACCTGATTTCAATCATTTACCAGCTCAAAGATTTGGGGCAAGTGACTTAACTTCCTCTTCTTGAGATGCTAGGTGAAATGGAGTTAACAGCAAACATCTGCCATGGCGATGTGAGACTGAAGTGAGTCCACCTATGTAAAATACTTAACATGGTACCAGACATAACTGTTCAATAATACAAATACTATTTGCTGTTTTTATTAGCATCTCTGCCAAAAATATCATAGTATAATGTAGTAAAATGTCGCTCCCAAATTTCAAATAATAGTTTTGTTTTATTTTTCAATTTTTCTTCCCATTTCCATATCATAACAACTCTTCTTTCTCTATAGGCCTTCCCACCATTTGGCAATGGGCTATTTCCTTACCAGCAGCCACCATGGCAAGTTCCACATGTAAGTTTTTTTTTTTCATATGCTAGAAAAGAAAAATAATATAGTCTCAAACTAGTATGAATTCATACATTCTAAATGCGATGCCACATACAAATCAATAGAGAGCACAAATTTTTTACTCAACTTAGTAACATGCACATAGCCTGAATCAATAAATAGCTAGCAATAACTTAGTTTAGGTATTAATTTTAAAGGCTTGTGTTACTTCATTAATATTTCCCATTTCCATGAGATATTCGAAAATTCCCTCATTCGTTGTAATGGGGAAACTGGGGAGAATGGAGTTTGGAAAATCATAAGACAAGCTGTGACTAGACTATGATTTTTCCAGCATATAGTATTTCTAGCCAAAGATATTTTATAAAGAATCTTGCAAAATAAAATTTACAGTTAAAATTAAAACCATTAAAATAAAACACACTGTTGAAATTGCATGAAAATATAAATCATGAAATTGTTTGAACAAACAGGACAGTAAGGTCTAATTGCTGTTAAACTAATAAAAACCAGATAGATTTGATGGCTCTTCATTTCGATAAGGAATGAGTGTTTCTTATCTATAATTCTATAATCAAGAAGTCTTCTTATCAACAAGGAACAACTGATTTCAAGGTGTGAGAGCCCCTTGCTTTTTTCCCTTAAAGAGTAACTTCTCTCATTGGCCATACTGTACTAAGGAAACAAAGACAATATCAAGTGAAGGTTTAAAAAGCAGATGAATGTAATTCATATATATTGAGCTTAATCTCATCCTCATAGGAGTTCATAGGACTTCACAGGTCTGTGAACTGTGAATAAATCTATTTAAACCAAAAGCTGTGGAGCTGGAAAAGAACATAGATAAGCCAGAAAGAGAAAGAAAAATACCAGATGGTTTCACTCATAGCAGAGTATAATGGGCCAGGCGAGAAAATAATAATAATGAACAGCCATATACCAGAGACACTTTGTGGGGGTGGAGTGGGGAATGGGATCAAAAACGGAGGAGGGGGTTGGGGGGAGGGAAGTGCATGGGACTATGGTGATGGCACATGGGTGACTCAGTGATGGGAAACCCATGGGGATTACAATTGAGGTTTTAAAAAAAAATGTGCGAAATGATATAAAAATAAACTGTTATATTAAATAAATAAATAAGATAAAAATGACATAAATAAATAAATAAATAAAACAGCTGAACTGCTTTTCTAAACTGGCCTCTGAGCTGAAACTCAGTCTCCAAGTTTGGTTAGGAAGATAAATGGTGGTCAAATAAAAATGTTATAGCAGTAATCCAGGAATGATTATCAGTTTGTCACCCTAAATATGAAATAAACTATTTAAAAATAAGTTCATTATTTAATCTCCATTATTAGACTTTCCAGTATGGATATTTGGATCCTAATAGCTCTCACATCTCTCTCTCTCTCTTAATGTGTGTATGTGTTGAAAATGCTGCACAGGGCAATTGCTAGGATATATTTTAATCTAAAAGCCACTTTAGTCTTTATATTGAATATCATGGATTATGTTATATAACTATTAATAGCTAGATTAGGAGAAGCAGTGACTCAAAAGCTAATAATGCTAACATCCAATCACTCCAGCTATTTTAAGATATTCTGAGACTTACAAACAAATGATAACAATGGCTGTCTCTTGTGCTCATTATGTTTTTCCCTTTTCAGAGGGTACCACCAGGTTTTGGACGCCCACCAGTCAGCAATGAAGAAGGGGGGGTAAGTACAAGTAAATCTACATTCCTTGGTAAGAATTACAATCCACTAGTTACTGTTTTTTTGATTCCTGTCTAATAAGAAAAAATCCAACACATGAAAAAAATTTAATGATGTAAATGCAACACAAAGTTCCAGAAAATACACTGAAAACAAAGATGAGAAAAATGTTTTTACAACAGACTTCAAGTGGGAGAATCCCAGGAATATAGGCAACTGAAACTCCGTAGGATAATTGGCACAGCACAAGTCTGTACTGCCATGGGCTTCTGGGAGTAGAGCCTAATTCTTCCCATGGAAGTCAGGACAGAGAAGGAAGCATTCAGGCTGAGTGCTGAAGGATAAGCCAAGTATTCCAGGAAGGACAAATGTGTAGGTGAGAAGGTTCAATATGAAGGAACCAGGTGCAAAAGCACAAATATAAAGGAGTGCTCAGAGAACTGCTAGGATTAGTAGTTGTGATTTGACTTGATTCTGGTAAGAACACAATATGATGTCTACCCTCAAAGAAAATTTGTGGTTTGAATTGTATTATTTTTTATTAAGGCAATCTTGGTTTAAAACAATGTGCATGATTTAGAAGTATAGATTTAGAGGTATAGATGTATGTTACCATACAAGCCTGCAAACAAAGCACCCAGAATTTTCTATTACGTTTCCTAGGGTCCCTTTTCCCCTTTGCACTCGATCCCATCCTCTCTCCCTATAGCCTCAATCTGCAGTCGAATTTCTAGGTTTTTCTTTTTTTCTTGTTTTGTTTCTTTATATTGCACATATGAATGAAATCACCTAGTATTTGTCCTCTTCATTTTGCTTACCATTTCGATCCATGTTGTTGCAAATGGCAAGAGTTATCTTTTTTAAAATATAGCTGAGTAACATTCAATGTTACACATATATATGCCATCTTCATCTATTCATCTCTCCTCGGGAACTTAAGATATTTCCATAACTATAGTGCTGCAATGAACACAGGAGTACATATGTCACTTTAAATTAGTGTTTTTACATTCTTTAGGTAGATACCAGGAGTGGAATTCATGGACCATACAGTATAACGATTTTCAATATTTTGAGAAAATGTACTGTTTTCCATTGTATATCAAAACAAATTTTGAAGGGTAAAACACAGTCTGATTGAATATGGGGGGAAATTTACAGAGTTTTCTAGACCATATTCATCTTGCTTAACTGACATTTGTGCTAATTAGTTACAAAATAGTAACTCTTCATTTCCCCCTCTCAACCCCTAGTAATTGCCATTCCATTCCTTGATTCCTTGAACTGGCCTACTTTAGATCTGCTGTATGAGTGGAAGCATGCAGTACTTGTCTTTCAAGTTTCATCCACATTGTTGCAAATACTGAATTTCCTTCTTTTCTGAAGCTGATTAATGTTTTTTGTATGTATATGCCACATTTTCTTTATCTATTCACCTGGCGATGGACATTTAAGTTTTGCCACACCTTGGCTATTGTGAATAGATAGTATTGCAAGTAGTAGTAGTGATTTGTAGCTGCAAAGAGGGGAAGACTGCATGCGATAGTGATGGACAGGTGATTGTAAAATTTACATATGCTATCTCATTTGACTTCCATGACAATCTACAAGATAGTTATTATTTTACTATCTCTGTTATATCCTGACATTGACCCAGAGTCAAACTACTGTAACTGATGGAACAGGGATTTCAACCCCTATCTGTCCAGAGCCTCACTCCTTAGCACAATGCTGTATTGTTTTCTATTTACACTATGAGGTTTAGAGTTTGATCTCGAAGATAAGAGTAACTTTAATGTATTTAAGGGGGAAAAGTGACAGAACTTTTCCACACACCCAACTATCAACTGTTTTGATGGCAGCAGAGAACCAAGACTAGAGGAAAGTAAAATTATATTGAATAACTTACAAGAAAACTTTTTGCAATAGTTTGGGATACTGGCTAGGAAGAGGAGGGGATTAGGGTGAAAGTTTATATCTTATAGAACTTGGTCATTAATTGTCTTGGAAAAATAAAGAAATCAGAAACTTGGCAACTAGGTAGATAGTGGGGGTATGTTCTTAGATACAGAATATTGGGGAAGAAAGTTTGGGGGGAGGAAAGGCCACTTCTGTGTACATTCAGTTAGGGATACCCATGATGTCATGTCATGGGCTAGGAATTATGGCATAGATATTGCACAAGGCAGGTATATAAAATGGAAACAAAAGAATGAGGAGGAAAAATGTTATCTTAAATTAAAAAAAAAACCTGAAACTTAGGAACCAGGCCTAAGGAGAGAAAATTGCGACATAATCGTCAGAAAGAATGTCAAAAGAGATTCTAACCAGAGGGTTCACAGAAAGCAAGGAGGGATCAAATTTCAAGATAGACAGTATAGACAGTGGGGTTAAAAGTAGCATGTGGTGGGTGATTTGGTGATGGGAAACCCAAGAGCATTGCAACTGAGATGGAAAAATGCACAAAAATATGTAAAAATAAACTATTATAAAATTTAGAAATTATAATCAAGGAAATAAACACTAAAACCTCTCTTAAAAAAAAGTAGCATGTGGATATTAAGATTTCCTTATCACATTATAAAATTCTATCAACACCTTAGTAGAAAACATTTATTGATTTCTACCTTCTTTCCTACAGAACCCTTACTTTGGCTATTTTGGATATCATGGATTTGGGGGCCGTCCTCCTTATTATTCAGAAGAGATGTTTGAACAAGATTTTGAAAAGCCCAAAGAAAAAGACCCACCTAAAACAGAGAGTCCAGCCACCGAACCTTCATCTAATTCAACAGTTCCTGAAACTAATTCTACCCAACCAAATGCACCCAATCCTGGAGGGAATCAGGGTGGAAATGACACCAGCCCAACTGGAAATAGTGGTCATGGGCCAAACACTGGAAGTGGCCCTACAGCTCAAAATGGAGTCATCCCACCCCCTGTAGTTAATGTTTCAGGCCAGGGCATACCAAGACATCAAATCCCATATGGGCCACGTCAGCCAAATGTTCATGAACATTATCCAAATCCTAACATCCGAAATTATCCTACAGGAAGACAATGGCGTCCCACTGGTACCAACATGGGGCACAGCCAGAATGGACCTTTTTACCGAAGTCAGCAAATTCAAAGGGGTCCTAGATGGAACTCCTATGCTTTGGAAAGCAAACAAGTGGTTCGTCCAGGAACTCCATTTTATCGCAGAGCTTATGCTAACACTGCAAGAGGCAATTCTCCCAATCATGCAGGAAATCCAGTAAATTTCAGAAGAAAGCCACCATCTCCAAATAAACAACCCATGGGAACCAATGTTGCCCCTTTGGGTCCCAAACATGATACTGTTGGCCAAAATGAAAAAATGCAAAACCCAAAAGAGAAGCTACTAGTTCCAAAGGAAAGAATAGTCATTCCTACAAAGGCTCCAGCTAGTCCCTGGAGAAACTCCCAAGATTATGAAGTTAATAAAGATTATGGAGTTAATAAAGATTTTGGAGTTAGTAAGGATTATGGTGTTAGTAAATCGAACTATAAACAGCCTCACCCTGAGGGTAATATGCTAATCCCAAACTTTAATTCTATTGATCAACATAACTCATTTTTCCCTAGAGGAGATTCCAGAAGAGGACCAAATTCTGATGGACAGGCCCAAAGTCAGAATCTCCCCAAAGGGATTGTTTTAGAGCCAAAAAGAATCCCATATGAATCAGAAACTAATGGGCCAGAATTAAAGCAAAATGCATATCATCCTGTATACCCTGAGGAAATCCCTTCCTCTGCAAAAGAACATTTCCCTTCTGGAAGAAACCCTTGGAACCATCCAGAAATATCTCCACCTTTTAAGGAAGAACCTAGAAGGCAGGATGAACACTCACCTTCCCTTGGCTCTAGAGGAAGTATTTACTACCCAGACTATAACCCCTATGATCCCAGGGAAAACTCACCATACCTTAGAAGCAAAACATGGGATGAGAGAGATGATTCTCCCAATACTATGAGACAATCTGAAAGTCCACAGTATCCCATGAATACTCCAGACCCAATAGAGACTATCCCTTATAATGAAGAGGACCCAACTGATCCAATTGGAGATGAAACTTTCCCAGGACAAGGTAGATGGGGTATGGAAGAGTCAAGTTTTAAAGAAGGGCCAACAGTTAGACACTACGAAGGCAAGCAATACACCTCATATCAACCAAAGGAATACCTACCCTATTCCTTAGATAACCCATCAAAACCCAGGGAGGACTTTCCTTATCATGAATTTTACTCCTGGAATCCAGAGGAGAACTATCCGCCATATAATACAGCCCCCTCAGTTCCACCACCTGTGGAGAGCAGGGGTTATTATGCTAATAATGGCCTTGGACAAGAAGAAAGTACTCGGTTTCCTTCTTGGAACTCCTGGGACCATAAGATTCAGACCCAAGAGCAGAAAGAAAAAGGGCCATATTTTAACAGAAATTTCTGGGATCAGCCACCAAATCTACACAAAGTCCCTGAGCAAGAACCACACCAGAGCGAGAACCACCTCTATTCTAGTAACTCTCCAGCTGGACTTCAAAAACTTCCAAGATGGAATGAAGGAGAGAATATGAACTATGACATGCAAATGACTAAGTTAAATTCACCAAAGGGAGAACCAAATCGCCCAGCAGGTCAGAAAGAAGCACATGTATTTCATCTAAACCAAAGAGGCCCTTGCTGTGCCGGTGTCTCCACAGGACAAAAGGAAAATCCACTTGCTCTTCAAGACTACACTCCCTCCTATGGTCTGGAGCCAGAGGAGAACCAAGATGCCAGCCCTCTGCATACAGAAGACAGTCACACCAAGCATGCCAGGCATATCATCTCCCCCACAAGCATTGTACCTGGACAAGGAAACACCTCAGAGAAAATACTGCCTGGAGAAAGTCAAAACCCAAGCCCTTTTAGAGATGATGTGTCCACTTTGAGAAGGAACACACCATGTTCCATGAAGAATCAGCTGGGCCAAAGAGGAATTATGCCCTTACCTGAAGCCAGTTCCCTTCAAGCAAAGAATATCCCTTGTCTCAAAAATAATCTTGGAGGAGATGGAAACGAGGTTTTGGAACAAGTATTTGAAGGCAACCAGCTCAATGAAAGAACTGTAGGCCTTACTCCAGAGCAACTTGTTATTAGTACCATTGATGAAAGCCTCAAGCCAGAAGGAATCCAAAGTGAAGTGCCAGAATATGAAGGTGATAGGCAGCAACAAAGGCCATCTAGCCTCCTCAAGTTACCGTGTTTGGGCTCTAGCACTGGAAGGCGAGGCCCATATGATAGGGAGCCAATCGGGCCTACTGAAATCCCTGGGCTAGCTACCCAGTCAGAGTTTCACAGTATAAATGTGGATCCCCTCAATGCAGGTGAACACACTCCATTTGATTCCCTTCAAATAGGCTCCAATCCACAGCACCATGTACAAGACTGCTTACTACTTCAGGGCTAGGGATTGTCTTAGCTAAGAATCCTTTAGGAAAAGGAAATTCCTGATATTCTACAATTGTTCCCAATTTACCCCCCCCCACACACACACACACACTCAAGTAAGTGTATGACCTTGATGATCCTTAAGATTTTGCCTTTTCCAGCAGTAGAAAAAGCCCAGGTGATGCTGATGAGTTTGGGCCTCATTCAGAAAGGCTAGATGTGGGGTAATGCATACAGCGCAGACCAAAACACTAACCCATTCATTAGCTAACACGGGAAGGCTACAATCACCCTGAGAAACCACTTGTCTAAATTAGCTTCCCTGGGCTGGCTGATTCTTCCTTTTTCTCTCAAAGTTCAATACTTGCAAAAATTACCTGGATTTGCAAGATAAAAATGCAGATAAACTTTCCATTTTATGTATGGACTTCTACATATCAGTATAATCCTGAAACATTGTACACTTTTTTCCTATGTCTGTCAGGTTTTTATTTTTCCCTCCATAGTTAATGATTTGGCAGGTATTTTCTTCCACTACCTCTTTCTTTGCTTCATCATTTCTTCTTTCTCCTTATATTAACCATTCATTATTTAACTTTCTCTGTTTTCTTTCCTATCTTTTGCTCTATCACTTCCTACATAAGAAGCTATTTTCAACTTTTCTTAGTCTTGATCTTTTCCATGTGACTTCATCTCTTTGTTTTTCTGTTTTTTTCTATGTGACTTCAGAACTTTCTGTTCTGCCTCTTATTTTATCATTTGTCGGTCAACCCCTTCTTGGACTCCTTTCTAGCTATATACAACATTTTTTACCATCAGATTGCCTATCTTTCTTCCTTTTTATAATCTATTTTCCAAATGCTCTTCTAATTTTTTCTTTGGCCCACTCTAACCATCATTGTAGATTTCAGAAATAAGTAGACACTAGTATCTATCTGTTTTTAATTTCTTATGGCCCTTACTAGGTAAACACAACTTGGACAGAGGAACACATTCAAGGAGAAGAATGGGAGAAAACAGAGGGAAACCTGAAGAAGAGGCTTAGGAAGGTAGGGCGGGGAAGGAGTGTCACTGCTATAGAACATTCCAATAAATGGAGTCGGACTTGCCGACTCCTCACTAACTCATAATTTCAGTATCTAAAGAGTACCCATTAGTAAACACCACCCTACTCAAATAAGATAAAAACTCAGTGGTTATTTTTCTATAAATGATTCTACTGGTATATGCTACTGCAGACATAAAGATTTCATGTTCTGGTAGAATTATTTGCCTACGTACTTTCTTCATATCTTGATTAAATAGTGTAAATTATTTTGTAAATTAGATATTTCTATATTGCCGTCTTAGAATACAGCTACATATTTTTTGTTTTGTTTTGTTTTTATTAGTGGCATTTGGTCTACTATCTGTATATTCCTTCCTAGAGAGGAAGAATTCTCAGGATTATCTAGACAGATAATTTGTTAGGACAGATTTTACAAGAGCTCAGAAATTTTGGGAAATACAATATTGAAATTTTCCAAAGAAAAAGTCTCATCCTTTACGTCTTCTAAAATTTCGGGTGCAGTGCTTTGCACATAGCAAATACCCAATAAACCCTAACTGACTGATTTGTAAAAAGCCTTCAATACCCTCATGAAAATACTGCAGGGTGCTTTCCTGTGGTAGACAATCTGGGCTACAGAATGAGTCACACACTCTGCATTTCTCTATATTCAACAGCATTTGCCTCATAGAATCTCATGACAAGAAGGGATCTGACAGGTGGACTAATTAGGCCATCTAATAGTTGCTTAAATCTACCACCACCAGTTTCATATTTTAATCACCCATTGAAAAACTATTAACATATTCTATATGAAATTGTCGCAAAAATTACCCTCATCAAAATAAAATTAGATTATTATATTACACATTTCTTCCAAGTGATTTTTGAATCTCTATATGAGACATTCATTATAAGATAATCACTCACTTCAGTATTTCATCAAATGTATCGATCATGTGTTTTTGGAAGATGGGTTGACGCTTCCACATCTATGAAGTATCACATTATTGTGAGACCTCTGGTATTTAAAATGTGAAAAAATACAATGAGGCAAAAATATCTCAATTTGAGTGAAAAAAAAAAAGAGGTAAAATGTCCCTGCAGAAAATAACTCCACACCTCATTAGTATAATTATCCTTTCGCAAGCCTGAACACAAGTCTGAATTCCTTATAGTAAAGAAATTATTCTAGATGCCTTTCCCATATTATGAAAAAAACATTTAAAATCAGCACAAAGGTTAAGCTGTTCATCGCTGTAATGACAGACTCTGAAAGTGGCTAACCTCTTGTCCTTAGTGCCCATTCCACTACCATCACCCCATGAGTTCCTACTAGTTGGCAGTCATGCACTGATTCTAAGATGGCTGGAAACATCCTGATGGTGTCTTTAGTCAATAAAAAAAAGAAAAGAATACCCAAAGATGACTAACACAGGTGATAACCCAGTAAGGGTAACACACACCTGCCTTAAGAGGCTTTCTGTTTTACAGCCGAAAATAGATTTCTCTAGAGGACAGGTTGTGGCAGCCCACAGGCCGGCAGTGGGGGCGAGGGGTGCAGGAAGCCCAGGAGGCAACTGAGCACCTGTCCCCCCACAAATCTTTACTCCTTTCCTAGACTCTCTTGGTGTTCTGTCATGATCTCGCCTTCCCGCAGTCACGCAGCTGTTCTTGTAGCTGTCCTTCTCCAGGGTGATTTTGCGGCCCGTCATTCCCCCCTCCTAGGCTCAGAAAACACTCCTCACTTCATTGGTATAATTATCCTTCTGCAAACCTGAACACAAGTCTTACACATGCTCTGGTGTCCATAACCAGGCACTTGTACCCCACACGCCCACTCACCTCTGACATTAATAAGATCAAGGACACAGCTGATCGCCACGTTGGCCAACAGTGTAAAAGGCCTCATCCGCTTCATTTCCCCACAAGGCAGTTGGGCGTTGATCCCGTTAGCTGGAGGAAGTCTTGCACTTTTTCATTTTAAGCAGAAAGCACAGTAGAATGATAACAATATACAAGTTCTGGTTACTTCTGAGAACAGTATAGTATCTATTATCATGGAAATTCTTCTCTGTCATTTCCCTGAACGTGTCTTACTTCAGTCACTACGTCAGCCTTTATATATCTCTAAAGAAAATTCATAAGACATACCCTTGGAGTTACTTTTATTGTTCTGACATATCTTCGCCTACTTATTTTTCTCTTCCTTCACACCAATCTCTTTCAGTCATGACCTTAAGGGCCCTGAAGAACATTTACTTTGTACTCAAGAAACCAAAATTCATATCTAAAAACCAAAAAAGAACCAGAAATATTGGGATTAAAATCAACAGCCACATCCCTCCTTCACAAAACCTCCAAAGTTTCATTGTGACTCAGACCAACTGCCCAATAAAACCTCAGAAACAACGAACACTTGGGGGAAAATAGATAATCACCATCTCACGACAGAAAATAGCATTTGGTTTTGTCCACCTGTTCTTCCTTGCTTCTCTACCTCACTCATGCCCAGTAACATAAGCCACTGAGCCTTTTTTCTCTCACTTTTTTATACTAAGAAAATTTAAAACAGGCTTTAGCTGGTGACACACAAAATTCCAAGTTGACATAGCAGAATTCTTCAGATAAAGAAGCAAGAAGGAAATTCAAGACTGGCATAATAATGAAAATAATTAAATTGCTCTAAATGCCCCATCACCTCCCTAGACAAGTTCCTCTACCCTCATAGCACCACCCCATTTCACCTGGTTAAGGATCCAGCCTCCCCCAGAAACATCATTGCTAACTTCTGAGCTAATCCAAGTAGCCAGACCTCATTCCTTTCTGCACTGGACCAGCAGTTATTTGCTGCAGTTTAACTGGTACAAAGATTCCTTCTCAAGGGTTGGCTGATACATCTCATTAGCATTCCCGAGTCATCCACCGGGCCCTTAAAGGGTGAGTCAAATCATGGCGCATTTAAGGAAGAATAATGATAGAAAATGTTGTTTGGGAGGACTTCGCCAGTCCTTTGACTGTCACCCATGCTTGAGTTGCCTCCTTTAACTAGGATCAGAGTAATGACCATATTCGAGTTTTAATGTAGACACATAGCACTAGCAAGGCACAGAGTAGTTTCTCTATGACCCCAGCAGATGGTAAAAGAGGAATCCTAGAGCCCTCAGTGACTTTTTTCAGGCTTTAAATGATTTTTCTAGACCATTTATAGTGAGGTAGCTGGAGGCAACCAGGTGAAGGGCAGGCAGGGACACCTGGGGACCGGCCAGGAGGCCGGTAGTCGCCTGGGCCCCCTGCAAATCTTTACTCTTTCTGGACTCTCTGGCTTTCTCTCATGGTCTCTTCACTGGTCTCTACTGTACTCCACCCCTGGGCACCTCTGGTCACTGTGACCACCCTTATATATGCTCAGTCTCTCAGCTCAGGTGCTCCCGCCCACGCACGCCCACGCTCTGCTCCTGCCATCAGGCACATAGGTAACACCACCAGTGTTGGTCACTGATGGCAGAGGGCAAATAGGACCTGAAAATGTCCGTTTATCTTACAACATGAATCTTGTTAAAATGATCTGGAGAAAGGCCTGCCAGGTGGTAGAAACATGCTCCCAGGTGATGATGAATAAAAGCCAGCTGGTAGACCAATGCTGGCGTGGCAGCATGCCAGGCTGTTTCCTGTAAGGTGGCGGCGTCAACACCCTTACCAGGAAAGTAACACTGAAAAAGCTGATTATTGTTCATTCGAAAGGATGTTTTTAAATGATATACGTAAATGAAGATTAAAGAACACAGGGCTCTCCCTGGTGGCTCAGTGGATTGGAGCGCTGCACTGCCAAGCTAAGCCAAGCCATGGCCACTTTAGTGCGGGTTCAATCCCCACCCTAGAGGTGACCCACGTGGCAAGGCAGACCTCTCCTGTCTTGCACACAACCCTTCAGCAGTGTGCTTTATTGATCTGTCTCAGAGTTCTGCTCC